TCGGTGGACACCAGCCCTGGGGGCAAGTGGCTAGTGAGAAAGCATGGGATGGGTGTGCCTAGCTGGTGGTGGGGCTATGGAGGGAACCAGGGCCTGGATGCTGGTTTCCATCAGATCGCTTCCACACCCCCCGTGCAGTCATGAGCCACGCTGCCCCATACAGAGCTCCCAGCTGCACTGGCCGCGTAAGGGAAAAAAGAATGGAAGTTCATGCACTACAGGCATGGCTGCATCCAGGTGTTCAGATGTTAATAGGGCTCTACCTCTTTATTTTCTCAGCCTCTTGCCTCTGCTTGGCTTAATTCCTAGACAGACTGTTTCCAAGTGGCAGCGGGATGGTTTATGATTCCAGGGAAAGGGCTAGTGTCCTTCCTGAGGCACCAGCAGAAGTCCCGGAAACGGTGCGGTCGGCTTGGCTTGGCTTGGCTTGGGTGTCATGCCCATCGTGAGCCGATCCCTGTGGCCGGGCCTGGATCGTGTGACTGCAGCGCAGGAATCGGGTGGGCTGGTTTCGCAGAGAAAGAAGTTCTAGGGTGACCGAGAATGCGTCTGCTACACCTGGCCTCCCTCGGGATGGTACCCCGCCCTCTTCCCTGTCACCCACAGCCTGGCCCTCTTGCTCTCGCCCCCAGCTGTCCCTGGGCTTACCTCAGCCACCGCCAGCGCCGGTTCTCCATCCTTGGGGGCCCGATCCTCAGCACGTCGGTGGCGAGCCTCCTGGGGGAGCTGCTGCATGAGGAGCTGGCCCTGCGGTGGGAACAGCTGCTCCTGGACGACGCCTTCACTGGGGGCGCGCTGGCCTGGGTGCCCGGCAGGACGCCCAGGGCTGGGCAGCTGGTCTACCCTGCAGGAGGCGCCCTGGACAGGCTGTGTATCCTCCCTCGCTGGGTATGCCCTAGGGACAGGTGGGAAGTTGGGAGCCTTGAGTGGCCATAACGCATGAACTTATCCTTAGCGAGATGCCCAGACTTCCAGAAGGTCAACCTGACCCCAGGCAGTGAGCCCCGGGTTCTCGGAGGCCCTGGCCATATCCGGCTCCGGGGACCTGTCCGGCAGGTGGTGACCCGCACCGTGCAGGGAGAAGGTAAGGCCCGTAGACACCTCCCCCGTCCACTCACTGACCTGTTGCCTGACTCTGACCCTGACCCTCTCCATCCCTCAGCTGTGCTGGCTGTCCGTTCTGACTACCACTGTGCCCTGTGGAAGGTCAGTAAGCAGGGGCAGCCGGCCCCTCTCCAGGTGTTGCAGGTCGAGAAGGGGGCCACAGGGATCAGCCTCAGGTGAGGGGCTCACTGAGGCTGGTCTGCGTGGAGATGGGCGTGGGGGAAGGGGGTGGCCCGGCATTCATCACGTGTGTGCCCTGTAGCCCTCACCTGCCTGGAGAGCTGGCCATCTGCAGCCGTTCCGGAGCCATCTGTCTTTGGACTCCCCAGGACGGGTAACGCCCCTTCCCCATAAAAACCCTCCACCCCAACCAACGGCTCCCGCAGAACCCGGCCCATGTCCTGGACACCAGGCCAGGTCACCCCAGCCTCCCCCCATCAGCCGGTCTCCCCACCATGGCTGGCCTGTCTCCCCAAGGCTGCAGCAAATCTACAAGGACCCCGAGACCCTTGTGTTCCGGGACCCCTCTCCCTGGCGTTGGGCAGACTTTACTGCCCACCCTCGAGTGCTGACTGTGGGTGATCGCACTGGAGTGAAGATGGTGGACACTCAGGTGAGGGGGCAGAGCAGGTCCTTGGTGGTGGTGGGGGGGGGGCTTCCCCCGAGAGGTCGTGATGAGCTGCAGGGCCAGCGAGCCCCGGGCCAGCTGCAGCAGGTGGCACCACAGACGGCGGACTGTGGGCTGGCTGACCTGGCCGTGTCCCCCAGGGCCCGCAGGGCTGTGGTCTGCTGCTTTTTCGTGGAGGGGCAGAAGCATCATGCCAGAAAGGGGAACGGGTCCTGCTCACCCAGTACCTGGGGGAATGTGGCCCCGAGTGTCTGCACCCCACGCTCCACCTCATCTGCACCCAGGTGAGCGACACCTTCCCCTCCTCTCCGTCCTGCACCATCGCAGGCGGTCACTGGAGAGAGTCCTGGACAGCTGCTGGGGAAGGGGGAAGGGCGTGGGCGTGGGGGCAGTGGCTAGAGCTGGACAGTCCCCCCGTGTCCGGAAGGGGAGAGGAGGTCTGGCTCCACCCCCCCGCCCCCTCAGGACCCTGGGTGTTAGTGGGTGTGTCTCAGGCGTATGTGCCAGGGTCAGGTGAGGTTGGGGGAGGCTGGGTGAAGGCCTCTCTCGAGAGCCCTTCTCCCAGCAAGGCCATCAGGACAGGGGACGGTGCCACCTGCTTGGGGGTGCCTCCTGTGCGTGGCTGGGCAGCTGACGCTGCAGAGGCGGTCAGGGCCGGTCCTGGAGCGCTGAGACTTAGCCTGAGAGCCACATGGGGCCCCGGAGGGGGCCACCCAGGGGGACCTGTCTCGTCCCTCTCTCCCACTCCCCAGTCACGTCCCCTCTGTCTTTTTTCTGGGCCTCCAGTTCTCGCTGTACCTGGTGGATGAGCGCCTCCCCTTGGTGCCCCTACTGAAGTGGAACCACGGCCTCCCCTCCGCGCCCCTGCTGGCCCGGCTGCTGCCCCCGCCCCGCACAGGCCTCCCGCAGCCGCTGCTCCTGGCGGGCCAGGGTGGGGAGCTGCAGCTGCTGCACATCGCAGGTGAGGGGCGGCACGGGCGGGGGGCGGGCAGGAGGGCGGCGCGGGGCCGGGCCTGGGCAGGGCCTCAGCTGTCTGTCCCTCCTCCAGGAGAGGGGGCCTCCACACCCCGGCTGGCAGGGCCCCCCCAGTCTCTCCCTTCCAGGAGCGACTCCCTCTCTGCCTTCCCCCTCCTGGAGCCCAAGAGTCAGTGGCGGGTGCAGGAACGTCTGACAGCACCAGCCATAGGTGCGCTGGGGCAGGGGAATGGGTTTGAGGAGCCGCACCCGCACCAGGCCGTAGGGTCACGGTCCTTCCACCTCCAGGTCTGGCCGCCGCCATCCCACCCTCCGCTAACACACCGGTGCTGTCGCTCTTCCAACTTTCGGCGGCTGGAGACGTCTTCCACCAGGGCCTCCACCTCCAGGCAGACCCCGGGCCTGACTCTACTGCCCCCATGGCTTCCTGGACCCCCCAGGCCACTGCCTCCTGCAGCCGGTGGCTGAAGGCCCTGCTGGAGGTGCCCCCGGCTACCCCCGTGTGGGCTGCACCCACCTTCTCCCACCGCCGCCTGCTGGGCTGCTTTGAGCCCCAGAAGGCAGAGGGCAAAGTGCCAGAGGGTCTCCGCACCGCCATGGCCAAAGGGCGTCTCCTGCAGCTGAGGGACCTGGGCTTGCTCCCCACGGAAGAGCCGGCCCCAGCCCCTGACCCAGGCCCCGAGCACGCGCTCAG